TTTTTTTTTTTAATATGTAGACACCCAGAAAATATTCAAAAATGCATAAGGAGCTCATCTGATAATCTTTAAAAGCAAATATTTTTAAAATTTCTTGTCTAGCTATTGTCTTTGAAATGTATTTATTCTTTAACCAGAATTATCGTCACTACCAATTCAAATCACTTAAAATTCGTCTTTAAAAGTTGGGAAATTAGTTTGTCACAAAAGCGTTAAAATGCGTTGCTCAATTTGCAATTTTCTATAGTTTTTCAATATTGTTATTATATCAGCGAGCTTTTTAAATTCATATACTATTATTTTCGCTACTGCCAAATAAACTGTGAAGCGTGTATCATAATATTTTACTACACACACTCATTTCAAATTTGTACATAACGATCAACTTTTTCTACCAGCCCTATCGCAAACTTATCTAGTATTTTTCAATTCTCATTCAGCCACTTCTTTCCCAACTCCATTACCACTCCCCACTAGTTTCACTTCTTGCCCACATTAATTTTTCCAATCACTTGCAAACACCGTTGCTCACCGCGCCTTGCTCATCCATGGCGCCTTGCGCTTGATCTTCGTGCGCAAACTACGCAAAGGTTTGATCTTACGCTGCACTGCACTACCGCTGCCCAAGCCTTGGTGGTGATGCAATTGATGTGGCCCACCATAATAGCTGGGTAAATGAAAGCTGCCGCTATCCTCGTACGCATGATGCTGCTGCTGTTGTTGGCTATAGGCCACCGCACTGGTCAACAATGCCATTTTGCCATTACCATTGGTGAAATGCCCATTATTATTGTTCGCCTTATTGTTCTCGAGACAGGCGGATATGTGTTCTTCTTCGACGCTGGTCGATGACGGCCGCTTTGTGGGCGATTCGACAACAGATGAACGCGAGAGCGAGAGTAGCGCATCGACGCCTTCACGTTGACGGCGTTGATCTTCAAGCTCTTCAGGTGTGATGTTGTTACTGCGGAGGTGAAAGGGAAAATAAGAAATAAGAAAATTGAGTGAAATTATTGAATAAGCAAGAAACACTTACTTATCTTCGCTGCTTTCGTATGCCGCATCGGATGATGTGTAATTGCTTTGATTATCACCATTGCAACCATTTATTGGCTGCTGACCATTGCTGGCGCCATACTGCGCATTACCATTGATAGCTGTAGGCGCTGAGTTGCCATTGATGAGTGGCGTTGAGGCGCCGCTGTTGCCACCACTTGCACCACCGCCACCAGCGGAGTACGTGTGATCCTCACTGGGTGATGAAGTTATTACGGGCGCGCTGCATTTAAAAAAAAAAGTGAATAAGCAAGCGATTACCATTGCGACCGCAAACTCACCCATTCTGGAAGGTCTCCGAAAACACTTTCGGTCCATGTTTCAAGGCCAACATCGCTGTTGCTGCATTCACATCATCGATGCTATCGGCACCACAATCGCGCGCCAAACTCTCAATGCTTTCATAGCTGCTGAAAGGACCCAATATGGAAGCGCCACTGCTAACTACACCACCACTGCCGCTGCCCCCGCCACCACCACCAGCGCCATTTTGATGCACCGGTGAGCTATTATAACTGCTGTGTTTGTTGTTGCCGCTTATCTGGTTATTCAGAATGCTATTATGATTTGTTGTACTATAGTCGGACGGAGTATCTTCTTCGGGCACATCGCCAGCCCCAGACACGACCACGTCATTTAGGAGGCCTTGGCCACCAATAACTTTCGATAGTTTAGGGAAAAGGCGCGGATCAATGCGTGGATTTATATTGGATTTGGGTGCTGGACTGCAGGCGCCGCCGCCGCCACTACCCACACTATCAACAGTGTCATAGCCCACGAGTGAGTCATTGGCAGCGCCAGTGTTGCTTGCGGCACCGGGACTTTTGAGCGAGGACGACTTATCGACAGCTGAATTGGGGAAGAATGGCGAGCGATTGAGCGCTTGTATGAGATTTTGTCGCTGTTGTGGTTCGACGCGCCAAAGTGAGCCCTTGCCCATATTCTAAGGGAAAGATTAATACAGAGGTATGGAGTTGGTTTGATTTCTTAGTGATTTTTTTTGTTTTATTTTACAATGGAGATATTGGTTTTTAATATTCTAACAAAAGCGTAAAAATAGCAGCATGAGAACCATTTTTTTCTATGCGTTTCCCAAGGAATTTTAATTCCCCCAGGTTATCCACGTTATCTTTATCGGTAAGCTTCCTGTGCAAGTTTTAATTTTTTGTCGACTTTGATGCGATATCATTTCGAAGTATCCATTAAAAACTACCGATGAGAACCATTTTTTTCTATGCGTTTCCCAAGGAATTTTAATTCCCCCAGGTTATCCACNAGATTAATACAGAGGTATGGAGTTGGTTTGATTTCTTAGTGATTTTTTTTTGTTTTGTTTTACAATGGAGATATTGGTTTTTAATATTCTAATAAAAGCGTAAAAATAGCAGCATGAGAAGCATTTTTTTCTATGCGTTTCCCAAGGAATTTTAATTCCCCCAGGTTATCCATGTTATCTTTATCGGTAAGCTTCCTGTGCAAGTTTTAATTTTTTGTCGACTTTGATGCGATATCATTTCGAAGTATCCATTAAAAACTACCGATATGGACATATTCATTGGCAACATTTTCAATCATTTATCGATAGCTCTCACTACAGTCGGGTCTATGTAAACGGAACGACCCAGATTCATATCTGGCCAAAGACCGCCACCAGAGCATAATACTCCAAAAACTATTTGGGGAATTTGTATGATGTTACAAAAACAAGAACACCATTTATCGATAGCTCTACTGATATCATTTTCGATAATAATCGATATTAATTTTGACAGAATTGTCGACTTTATTCTTATTCGCATCTGCATTTTTTGTTTTGTATGATACTGTTATGTTGACAGCTGCTAATGCCTTAATACATACCAGCATAGTTCACTTAAATATATATATTCAATAATAACTTACCGGCGCTTTTTCCACCTTCACGAAGCTCTTATTCAACGACAAATTGTGCCGCACGCTATTCTTCCAACCGGCAGGCGCTGTCTTAAAGTACGGAAAATGTTGCATAATCCAGGCATATATCTCCTTGACGGGCAAAGCTTTTTCATTCGAGCCCTCGATGGCCATGAATATTAAGGAACTGGAAACGAAAATGTTTTTATTTTAATTAATTCAATTGTGATTCCCTTTTATTTTTTATTTTTATTTTTTTAATTTTTTAATAATTTAAAAATTCGTAAAGCCCTTCACGCTTAACCCACCTAAAACTGTAGGGCGGCTTGTTGTGTGTGTGCACGAATGGATCGTACGGCACATTGTTCGGATGCTTTTGCTTTTGTGGTGTAACAGCACCGCTGCCATTCGATCCACCACCGAGGCCGCTAACATTGGTCATACTACCAGATAGACTATTCTTTGAGGATGCAGAAGAGCCAGAAGATGACAACTGTTGTTGTGCCTGTGCTGACTGATGCGTCTGATGTTGTGGTGTACTGGTGTTGTGATGTCCCAAACTACTTGAGCCATTGGTGGATATTTCGAAATCTTTCAATGAGTCATTGTCATAGCTGGAATAAGAGGTGGGTGAACGCATCATATTGTGTTGCTGCTGCTGAGTTGTAATGAGCGGATAAAATTCTTTGGAATTATTTGGTTCTGGCGATGAGATGCTTGGCGAGGAGCTGTAAAGATGGAAATAAAAGCTTATCAATTTTGAAAACGTAATAAAAATTAAAAGCTTTTCTACTCACGCCACACTTTGGTACTGCATTATAGTGTAGGTGGGTGGTATGCCCGCTGCAATGGGCGAGCCAGCTGCACTGTTTGCATTTGCAGCACCTGTTGTCGCATTACTCTGCACCATTGGTGACGACGTATTAGCCGTGCTGGAGTAGTTTATGGCACCGCTGCTGCTGGCGTTGCTACCGCCGCCACTCACATTGCTATTGTTGTGACTGTTGTTGGCTGCGCCGGCATAGAATGACTTAGAGATGGGACTATTGCCACCGTTGACAGCGGCCGTGGACGATGAACTAGAAACGGAGGAGGATAATGAGCTGCTGGAGGAGGCAGGCGAAGCAACCACTGTGATAGTGGACGCAGCCGCGTTGCCTCCTCCATTTGTGGTTCCAATTGTGCTAGCATTAATGCCACTACTGCCACCGCCGCCACTGCCAACGCCTCCGCCGCCGCCGCCATGATCCAACACATTCATCTTTTCGCGCAGGTATTTCTTGTGCGGATGGTGGGTGGTGCTAGATGCGCTGCTGCTGGCATTTGTATTGTTGTTGGCAAAGTTTTGTTGTCTTTGTTGCGACTGCTGTTGCTGCTGTGGTTGTCCTTGATAAATTGTGTTAGTCGTGCCGTTGCCATTGGTAACCGTAACAACACCGCCCGGCAGCGTTGTTAGTTGCTTCGGCAGGCTGAGCACTGTGGTGCCACTGTTGGCGCCGGCAACGCTCATCGTAGTTGAGGCAAGCGTTGAATAGGAAACAGACAGTGAGGCGGGATTGGAAGCAGCTATGGAGGCGGGTGTACTGGATACTGTTGAATGAGTGCTGGTAGTAGAAGAGAATGAAGAAGGCACATAGTTGCAAGAGTTTAGATTATTGCTGCTGCTGCTGTTGGCGTTGTTGTTAATCCCGTTGTTGCTCAAATTTGCTGGCGTTATAGTGGTGCCACCGCTAGCATTGCCAACACCGGCTGCGCTAAGTAGCTGCCTCGACTGTAGCGTCGGCATATTCCCATTCGATTTGTACTCCACAACGGTGGTGGTACCACTCGGTCCCATATGCACAGTGGTGGTGGCACTGATGGCGCCGATATTGCCGAAAATGTGTGCAGCCTCATCTTTGCGACCGCCTGCGGCAGCTGTTGGGTCATGTGGTGGCAGCAAGGTGATCGGTGTGCCGCTGGTGATTATGTTGCCATAACGCTTGAGTTGTTGAAAATCGCTGACGCTTAACGCGGTTATCTGTGTGCCAGCTTTCAGTTCAGTCGATGAAGTGATGTTGTTGTTCGTATTGCCGTTGCCGATGCCGATGCCGATACCGCCACCACTTGCCCCAATATGTGTGCTCATACTGCCACTGGGCGTGGTGGTGGTTACCTCCTCGCTGCCTACATGATGTGGCAGCTCTTCGATCAGATCGTGTGCATTGCTAGCGCTTACTATGCAAATATTGCCGCTACTTGCAGCAACGCCACCACCGCGCTTCACATTAGCACCGCCCGCGCCAGCTGCTGTCGTAGTCACTATGCCTTTAATTAAATTGCTGTCATTGAGCCACGCCAACGGGCGCAACTCCTCGTCATTATCGCCAGTGCCAGTAGCCGCCCCTGTGGCAATAACACGCCCCACAGCCGCCGCATCACCACCCAAACCGCTGCTGCCATTCAAGTCCATCGGCTCGGTGGCAAGCAGCACTATATTTCCTACGCTGGGCGCGCCGGCATTGCCATTGGCAGCTGCAGCTGCTGCTGCCGCCGGGGTGGAGCCTTCATAGGTAGTAAATTGTCCATTACCATTTGGTTGCAACAGCACATACTTCGATGTGGTGGGCATGTTGCTGCCACCGGTGGCACCGAACGATGTGGCACCTGTATTGAAGATTTTGCCGCTTGGCTTAGCGTTGCTGAAGTTCGCTGCGCTCAGTATAGTTGCCTTGGCAAGGAAGTTATTCAAGCTGTTATTGTTGCTGCTGCTATTTATGTTGCTGCTGCTGCTGATAAAGCTGCCAGCGTTACTGACGGCGGGACTAATGCTGCTCGTAACTGTGTTAATGTTGTTGCTGTTGCCGGCGCGTAAACCATTTGTTGCTGTGGTGACCAGGCCGCGCGCCTGCGTCGCCTGTTGCAAGCCGTTGTTGGTAAGCGAAGCTGCGGCGTTCGCAGGAAGCAGGTGTGATTGTTGAATAAGCAGAGCGTGGCCGTCCAGTGGGATGGTGGAGAAAACAAGATTTCCAGCACTCGCGTTGCTGCCGTTGCTGCTGTTATTGGTATGATGATTACTTGCGCCGTTGGTTGTGATGCTGTTGCTGTTGTGGTTAAGGTTGTAATTGTGATTACGGCTACTGCTGTTGCTGTTGTTGTTGCTATGAACGTGACTATTGTAGACGATATGGTCGTCAATAGATGTGTTGTTGTGGTTATTGTTATTACTGGTGGTGGTGATCACACGCTGCAGGGTACGCAAGCTGGTCAAATCGTGAGCGGTTAAGATCTGTGTGGGATTATCTAGCGACATTCTGTAAAAAAACATAAAGAAAAAACGACGTTATTTAGTGGCGAAATTTATAGTAGTCAAAGGCACAGGGTGACCAGGACCTTTAGAATATAAATGCACTAAATAATAAGGCTACTTCCGCCGGTTGTAATCCGAATGAAGCAAATATCATCAAAGAATAGGTCTATTCGCACGCGATAAAAACAATCTTATCTCAACAAATTTGTATCAAAAACCTTGAAAATACTGGCGCCAATCGAAAAAGTCTAACAAGATATGTAGTACATATACATATACGACGCCAAAGAAGTTAACCACTTCAACTCACCAAAAAACAAAAAAAAAACAAAAAACACCATTCCATTTGCCTAACACATTTCCTACTTTAACAAATAATTTTGGCACATAATCGCGCTTTTTTAATACCCGCTGTCATGCGCAGATAAATATAGAATTGTGTAGTGGCAAGATAAGATAAGCCAACAAAACTATACTGTAGCAAGACCACGACATTTTGTTAAGCTTAGAAGAATGCTTGAAAATGGAACGGAATATATGAAATAAATATATAGAAGTATAAAATTCCGAAAAGTAAAAAATAGAGGACTACAAAAAAGGAAAAGTGCTCGTAAATGCGCAGTAAATACAAATTATTAGTATGCGAAATGTCTATGCAATAAACAGTCAAGGTTAAGCAGAAAAATAATTAAAACGGTATGAAAGTATTTTATGACGCTTTTAGTTTTGAAGTCATGAGTGCTTAAATTGCGAATTACTATTATTGCAAATTATTTAACGAGTTCTTTATTTGATTTTCAATAAGAAAATGCTTTGGCTTTTTTTGTAGGGAAAAAGTATCGCCCTTTTGGACATTTTGATATAAATAATAATAGTACTAATAATATTTTGGCGCTTATACTTTTGCCAAGTGCTAAGCCGAGGGACCTACAGTTTTACGCCGCTTCTGAATGGCAAATGGATTGCATAGGAAGCTTTTTCATGGCACAAATACACTCGGAAGTTTGACATTGACGCTGTTAGAAAAATTTTAACCCAGGCCCTGTGGAGTGGTAGTATGCACTCAGCCAACTAAAAACGTCACTCAGTCGTGCACATTTGCCGTAAAATCCACTTTTTATAATAAAAAGTGATTATATTTTTAAAAATTTATATCAGCTAAAAAAATAATAAATATGTATAAAAAGACCTGAATACCCAATTTGTACTAATTATTTTTTTATTTAAGCGCTAAGCAAAAAAAAATATTACTTTTTTAACTTAAACATAAAAAACGTTTCAAAAATTTCGAAATTCCAAAAAATTGCATACAAATTTAAATATATTTTAGTAAAAATGGCGAGACGTAGGTTTTTCGAGCATTTCTAAAATGCTTCATGTGTAAAAATATAAAATTTTGTAACGTTTTTTTTTACTAAAGCGAAAATAAAATAAATAAAATGCTGATGTTTTTATTAAGTAGGAACGAAGATATTTTTTATTGGACGTTTCGCAACATTTTTTACGAATGTTTCCAAAATGGACTCTGGCATAGGGGTGGGAATTTTGCAACTGACTGCCTAGTCGAAAGACCTACTCGACTTAAAAATTCATCGGTTTTTAACAATTCAGAAGTGTTTGTAATTGCCGAATCATAAAAACTAGTTTTGCACGCAGAATAATTTAGAGCAAATATATTTTTTTTTCTCGCATACCGTACGCTAGTTAAGGGACATATTTGACTCTGTAAATATTATATCAAGCCCAAAAAAAAATTAAGGCATTAGGTTACAAACCTACCGTTGCGCTAATCTTGTCGCTGAGGCATGACAGCTTTCCAAGCAACGAAATGGCCGAAGAGCTAGCCGAAACGGTTCAAGCCTGGAAATTTCATTGGCAAAAGGACCGTCACTCTCAGCACTGGCAAAAAGTCACTAACAGTAGGTGGCGAAACCTACAATCCTGCTGAGTCCGTAAAAATTTGTTGGCTTTCTTACTGCGGTAAACGGAGGAAAGTTACCATCAAATTGGTGAGAAGTATTTCGTCGCGACTAATTGCCGTTTTCACAGGACACTGGACCTAGGCGCACAATGCAAGGCTAGCACTAGAGCACAACGCTTTTTGAAGTACTTGTAAATTATCAAAATCAGAAGTAACGGCGCGGGCTTACGCAGAGTATGACCAGCGCGCGATTTTTAGGCAAGCTTTTCTTTGGTGATCAAAGAGAATTTGAGTAGCATTAACCCACGACATATGTTATCTTTTGATTGTCAATTCTAGGTTCAATATGAGTGACTTTTTAAATTTAACTAGGTACTCACAAAAAAAAGTTATAGTCAAAAATTCTCAAATGGCACTTAATATTTCACCTCACACTATTCAATTTATTTGAATGAAGTCCACTTCTAATTAAGTGCCATTATTTCTACCAGCAATTCAACCCTGAGTGCACGCCAATCGCCAATATAGTGCTAGAACTAATATCCGTCAAACATTAATCCAACACACACACTCACTGCTCCTACCATTTTGTACGCCATCTCGCTGCTGCTAATTCGTTGTTTTAGTTTTTGCACTTAACGAAATTCATTACAAAAAAATTAGTTTGCACACAAAAAGTCGACTGCATAAAAAATAAAAACTAATTCACTGGTCGTCAAGTGATTTTTGCATTGATTTTCGCAAGTTCTCATGCATATGTATGTCACTCTGTAAGTTTTCAATTGTCACGGTTACAAGCAATTCAATAAACTAGTACCAACGAACTTTTTAGCTGACTGCGTTTCTAGTGGGCATAAAACGATTTCGCGTGTAACAAAAGCCAAAAAAAAGAAACACTGCAGTAACAGTTGCAACTACAAAATATAAAGATACGAGTGTAATATGTAAACCAAAAAACAACAGCAACAACACTAAAAAATTTACGAAATTTGATTCTTATTGGCGACTGTTGAGAGTAAGTTGACTCGCGTCGGAATGTCGATTTATACGAGTAGGGTGCCTAGTATTGCGCGATACAAGCGGCGCCATCGTCATCATTGGAATCCGCATGTAAGTAAACTAAAGGAATTTCTATATAGTGCGGAGTGCTTGAGCGAAGCGGGGTCGCCGCCTTGTCGGATACCATCAATGCCGCTAAACCAAAAAGTTGCTATAGTTACTTGATTGTAAACAAAAATGTATAAAGTTGCTCGAAAATCAACACTCCAATATGTAACACGATTTTATTATCTAAGTACATACTAAAGATATGTAGTGAGAGCAAAAAAATGGGGAAAAAGTGAGACAAACCCAAGTCAAAGCCGCAGTAGGCAGCAGGTGACCGAGAGCAGAAATAAATAAACGAGTCAACATGCATACATACATATGTATTAGCTATCGAAGTCAAGGTGTTTGTAAGCTGGCGAGTAAAACGAAGTACCCAAACACTAACTACAATAAACGTGTGTGTTATGTATACGTCATGGTGTATAAATTGTGAGGGGTTAGGGGTATGTAACAACAAATAGCTGGTAGAAGTATGCGAGAAAGTGTCACTTGCCCAGCTAGAGAGAATTTAGTGCAAAAAAACGTTGTAAAATATACCGATTATAGGGGTAGTGCATATTTAGTATGTAGTTGTAGTGAAAGGTGTTATTTGGGAGTAGAATGTATACAAGAAATGTAAACATGTGACCAGCGAATGATGCTGAGTGAGCCACTACGGGGCAAACAAGAGAAATGTGCGCTAGCCAACGAAAGAGCAGATACGAGTGCGACCAAGGATGGCTGGCAAGTGAGAGAACGCAAGTGTGTCAGCGCACAAGCCGGTAAAGCTTTCTTTCGTATGCACAACTTCTCAACTAAGCACAGAGCATTTGAAATAAACCGGGCTAAAAATACAATACAATGTTACCCCTTCGGCCTCCACCGACGAAACAATGTTCGAATGAAATTTGAGAAGTAACTAAAGAGCGTCTGTAAGAGTGACAAAGAAGCGAGTAAGCACTGAAAAGCGCTCTTTTAATGCTCAGCAAAAGCACTTGTGCGGTATTACCAAAAATAAAAGTCAAAATAAAGCTAAAATACTAGCGTATCTATCTAAGAAAACTTGTATAGCGGCGCGCCTACGTTGACCGCGACCGCGACCGCCAGCGAGAGTGCTGCAAACAGTGTTGCCACACATGAGATTTTCCTACCAAAACTGGTAGGATTATTTCCATTTGGTAGGTTGGTAGGCTAGATTGGATTTTGGTAGGTTTCACTGCAAAAATAGGTATTTGCGAAAAATAGAAAATATGTATCTCCAAACATTTTAGCAACCTTGAAAAGGGTTTGTCAATGAACCCACTGAAGTCCACGATTGTCCCATTTACCAAAATAAGGAAAGTCAACTTGACTAGATCCACCTTGGCAGGGACAGAAATTGAGTTCAGTGCTTGTCAGAGACTTCATGATAAGACCTGGGGAATATCCTCCAAAGTAACTTACGTATCGATCTTTCATTACGGTAGTAAACCCCGTTGTTACATATGCGACACTGGCCTACGTTGCCATAACAGGAGCTATGCGCACCTTGGTGTCATTACAGGCATTCCTCCTTTATTTTTTTGATTGAAAAAGGCCTGCTGCAGCGCCGAACTGCTGTCCAATACGTACGGCTGTCATCAGCACAAAAAGGTTCTCAAGTAAATCCTGGTTCTCAAGTTATCCTTCTATAAACCCTATAAGGTCAGAACTCTTGAAAGGGACTGCGGGGGCGATAATAACTATGATTGGCGGAGGGTACCAAGTATGGTATACCGACAGATTGAAGATGGATGCGAGAATACCTACTGTGGCAGGCGTACTTGGTCCAGGATTAAAAAAAGTCTGCCAATTGGCACATACCCAACGATATTCCAAGCGGAAGTCTTCGTAGACGAGCAAATGTGTGTGTGGTATTATGTCGGATAGCCAGGCAGGGTTAAGGCCTTAATAGACTCTTTTTTAACGGCATTAAGGTTGTAAACTCTTTTGAACTAGCTGGGAGCCCACAATAGCGT